CAATGTGAATATCATATACAAATCAGTAATAATTTATGAGCAATAAGAAATACACATTAGCTACAAGTTTTCATCCATACAGGCGCCTAATGACATGTTTTTATGTAGACACTTGAAAAATAAATACACGAACGATTCCCATCAATTTTCTTATTAATTTTATTCTATAGGCTATCAAAACACCAATTTAAAGTATGATAATTATTAAAAATGTTTAACAGCTTTAATCACATATTAATTATTCATATTTTGGAAAAGGCAATACTTTAAAGGCACGTAAGCAATCAACAAAATGAATAATCAATGAAAAATTGTCTTTGTGTAACAACTGGGACAGTGCTTTAGGAATTCAGCGATAACGGTTCTCGATCATCTGTAGAAACATGTGATACAATTTTTTAATAAAGATAACTTATTGAGGTATTTTGCTCTGGTGGCCATTTTGTGCAGCGAAGCGGAGCGTGATGGCGATTTACACAACAAGGGATGGTACTGATTATTCTTGTGAAGTTTTTACAAAATCCTGTCAATAGTTTGATCTGCTAAAGTCGGACAATATTTTTCTATTGATCGCTTTGTTGGCCATTTTGTGCAGCGAAGCGGAACGTATGCTTGCGATATGCACAACTAGGTATGGCACCGATCACTCCTGTGAAGTTTTATTGAAATGTGGCCAGCAATTTGATCTGGGAAAGCTAAATGCCGAAGGATGAACCGACAGAAAGACAGACAACCAGGCATAATCACTTATAACTAATAGGTGGCGCGATAGCTCTATAGGTTGCGCAATAGCTCAGTTGGTTAGACCACTGACTGTCACTACTTAGGTTCCGGGTTCGATACTGGGTAAGACTTTTGGGATTTTTCAGAGACACTTGCAGTATTTCTCACCTACCTACAACTGGTAAGAAACAAAGATAATCCTCGCATGTATCAGTGCTTAACACTGGGCTTGTAAAAAAAACCCCAATGTTTCTATTCAATAAGAGATAGGGACTAGTTCCAGGACTCCCCTGTATCTGATAGCTGTCTCTAAAGTCTGTTGAGGTAAGAACCCTACTAGTAAATGCACTTTTGTAGGTTATCCTTGACCGCCAGGCCTAAAGAAAATCAATCAATTAACTGAATGTTATACTTTTTGAAATTGTTCATGGGGAGATAAATGAGTTACTAAATTCTTCTTAATAGAATAAATGTCAATGTCATTTCCCAAAAATTTTTTCTTGAATAAAAATTACCAAAATTTTTATTTGTCATAAATGAATGATCTTTTATTTTTACCATCCGTTGGCAATTTGTTTAATCAAAGTCAATTAATATTTTTGTATGAAGGTAGAAATATTTCTTTGTTAAAATTTTCCTACCATTACGACACATAAATGCTAATAGTGCACATTCAGTGGCACTTTCTTCGTTTGTAAAACATACAAAATGCTCTAAATCCATAGTTCAATCATTCCATATATATGGCCTTTTTAAGAATAAAAAACATATGGATTTTAAGTGCAAAATGTGCTTTAAATCATGTTCATGATGCTTTGCAAAGGTTCTGTAAATGAAATGGGTTACTTGACTTCGGACATTCTGTTTTTATTAAAAGTAATTTTCAATAGTCGTGTTGTATTGTAAGGTTTACGGAACCTTATGAGTGATTCGACAATATTTGTGTTTTCTTTGGTTATGTTGCCCAGTTCAAAATACACCGTGTTAAACTTACGTGTTTCTGTTTTTCTCCATTTCTATAGTTAAAAAGAACAACATTCCCGACATGTTTCTGTTTTTCTCCATTTCTATAGTTAAAAAAAACAACATTCCCGAATAATTATTCTTATTGAAGTAAGTTAAGAATGACCCAAAACTGTAAAGCGTTGCAAACTGATTTTTATTTTTTTCTTAATAATCTTTAGTATAACTTTCTGTTTAAAAAACACATCATACTTCAAAAATTAATATTTATGTAATTGTTGAGAAATATCAATCATGCGTTTAATATTGTTTAAATAAAGGATTTAGAGTATGTTGATGTTTAACAACTGAAGGGGATTCATGAATGTCCCCACAAATCTTTCGTATATTTTGTTTTGGTGTCTTGTATAATTTGTGTTCCTTTTCAAAATTACATTTACGATTTGATAAAATTTTAAGTAATTATCGCCGAATCAGTTTTTTAAAACAAATAGAGGGGAGCGGTGGTCTAGTGGTTAAGGTGTCTGCTCTCAACCCAGATAATATGGGTTCGGGCCCTAATCGGGTCACAACCATGTTTCTTCATATGATACTAGCACTGTTTGGTTCCAGACAGCGGACTCGAAAGTTATTTATATTTATTGAAAGACTTTGTTTGTATTCGAGCTGAACTTAATACGTTTAAACCAAAATAAATCTTAATCGACATCTCTTTAATGTACATACTCGCTACCATGGGGGTCATTCTTCTTCTAGTGGAGAGGTCATGATATTTAAGAATCTAACTTATAATATTATCAACGGGGAGTCAACATTGTTTCAAAAATACTGACCATTTGTCATAATCATATTGGTGTCATGCTATTTCGTTACACCGATCTTTAGTTTTTATCTACAGTCAAATATAAATACATCAAGATAGGTTAGTTTGCAACCGTTCTGGATATGACAACAAAACCAAACTTAGTTGTTATGTATTTGATGAATTATATAGGACTAGTATTAGATTGGACGATTCACCAAAGATCAATAACAAGGGCGTGTTTTATACAGTTTATGTGAAGCTGCCTTACTCGTATATATAGCACATGTATCATACCACAGAGACAAACTTTTCTGTGTTTTTAGATACGGTCGCCGTTTCATTTTATATATCTTTTGGCTAATTATAAAAATTATTTTAGTTTTAATACAATGACTTTGACTGCTGGATTGATTATGATAATAATAAACGCTGTTTTATTCAGATCAATTAATTCAAACAAATGTAGTTCTTTTGAAATAAGCAAAGACAATATTAACAAAGCATTGATCGGTCATTCCGTGTTAGAAGTTAATGATAAAAACCATCACGATTGTGCGCGGACCTGTATGGCATTGTCCGTCTGTAAATCTCTCGACTTTGACAGAAACGAGCACGTGTGTAAATTAAACGATGTTGACCAGTCGTCCGTTGATCAATCGGAGTTTAAAACAAAAATAGGCTCTATATTCTCTGATATCAGCGAATGGTTTAGCGTAAGTAAAGTATCTTCATTTATTAATACGATATGTACAACTTTTGGAAACAGAAATGACACATTTTTTTCCTTTCATACATTTGCGGTTTATAATAAAATATGATTTTGTTCTGTTTGTAACGGGAATAATATTTTCATGACTTACATTTTACTGTGCAAATAACAATGTTTCGAGGAATCATCTAAGAAGTTTCTCTTTCACTCAGTGCCAATAATATAAAATCATAGGTAAAGCTTATCTAATCGTGTCTCACTTAGAAAATACACATTTTAATACTTGTAATAGTTCTTGTAAATCAACAATACATACATACTATTTATAGACAATGGTTGGAAGTTGTGGCTCAAGGCCGTGTAAAGCGAACCAAATGTGTCACCAAAATGGTGCTTCACATGTGTGCAAAGACATAAGTAAGTAAAAAAACTTTCTTTTTTATATTATTAGTTGTTATTGAACTAAATGTTGTATAATTTTTCAAGAAATATTGACGCAATAGATTTTGTTTGATATATGTCATGTTGTAAAAAGTCCTTGAAGACATGTACAAATGGATTATTTATAGTAGATAGAGGACACTTCTTAAGTCCGCCCGACTGATACGTTTACGTATTGAAGGAACTCCACTGATGTCCAAAATTCTAAAAACATAAAATTTGAATTTCTTATGTATATCAGCTGAAGCACTTAAAGCAGGAAGACATACAAATAATAGTTTACAATTATAATCAGACATCAAGTAAAAATCGTATATTTGTGTTTTTCTTAGCCTCATTTGAGTGAAAAGCATTGTAACGCTTTTAAGTATAACAAATAAGATTAACAAACGAAGCAATGACAAAAAGTAAAAAAATAAAACCCATTATACACGTAGTACATTTGCCAACAAGAAACTATATGTTCACATAGATATAACATAGGATACTTGATCACGATTTATACTTAAAACGTTACATTTTCAAAAATGATCATTCAGAAATTGGCATTTTATTTGTAAAGTATCAACTATTGTTTAGACAACACAGTATTATTTTTATTATTATCATTATTACTATTATTATTATTATTTTATTATTATTATTATTATCATTATTTCCAGCCTGTGCTTTTGATAAGAAAATTGAAAATGGTGAAATACAGGTTATTACTCCTGACGAAAACAAGTTTCTTGACGTAGCTCAAGTAAAATGTGACGAAGGATATGTTCCTAGTCACCAAGAAGTGAAATGTGAGGCTTCGGGAAAATGGCAACCTGCAACGTGCACGAAATGTAACGTATTTAAATATTGCTTGTCTCAATACTTCATCTAAATTAGCCATGACGGCAGAATAAAAGTTGTCTTACTTGCGAAATCGTCTTTCAAAACATTTCCCTTGGCACTTAAAATGATTATTCAAATAAATAAATATTTTATTATCTAAATGTTCTTATGGATGATGCCTTTTTCGGCAATTACTTTTTTATTTAATCAAGCTATTGATTTTGTTTTCCAAATAGTTGAAAATGGAAAAAAAAAGCAAAAAAAAAAAAAAAAAAAAAAAAAAAAAAAAAAAAAACAAAAACAAAAAACAAAAAAAAATAAATAAACAGACAGGTACATTGCCACTTTGATTACTTTAGAATTAGTACAGATCTTACAAACGGTATATTATTTTTTAGAATATAATAACTTTTATAAAAAATAAAACAACATTATTAGATGATAACTTTCTTCCCTTTTTTGGCTTATTTAAGCAAAATTTCTACTGATATTGTTTTTTATTATCGTTTCGAAATGAAATGATATAAGTCTTTAATGACAGATTTTCTTTTCAGAGGTGAGTTTAACAAAATCTTTAATAACATCTTAATTTCTTCAATTTTAAGCAATTTCTTGCAATTTGACTTTTGTGCCGAGGTCGATATAACAATTACTGTCTTATTACGTCATAAAAAGACCTTAAGTATGGTAAGATTTACAAATCATGTATAAACATTATGACAAATGTATATAATAGATAAACGTCACCTTTGATGTTTTTATATACACAATTTATGGAATTAATTGTAAAAACACTTGCATGAATCATTCATTCTTGTTACAAATACTGTTTTGTTCTTTGTCAAGTACCAAGTGATTGTAAAGAAGTCCTTGATAAGTTTCCTGAGGCTAAAAGTGGACTAAATGAGATAGAACTTTGGAAATCTGGGAAGATTCTGACCGTGAATTGTGACATGGAAACCGAAGGCGGTGGTTGGACGGTATGTATATTATTTTATTCCAATGATTGATTAGTAAATTGTTCTTTCCTAGCAAGCTCACATACTCACAATTATTTAACTCGTGATGTGATATTTTTGTTCAGAACGACTAACCAATCAAATAGTGTCAAATAAACGTCATATCAAATTGCATGTTATTCCAATATTTTTTTCAGGCAGTAAAATTCCACAGAGTATATTTGTTGGTTTTAATACTCGTATAAATAATAATATTTCAACACTAACATATGATGGGTTCCTTTCATCCGCATTCAATTACAGTCTGGCTGCTTGATAAATTATAATTCATCATTTCACTGTGAAATGATTTCAGTATCTACAGAAAAGCAGGCAATAAAGTGTACAACCACGTATTGCAGTCAATAAGTCATTTGTAATAGGGCAGGTAAATGATTAGAATTACAGAAGGTCTGTTCCTAACCGCAAATTAAAGATAAAGGACTTTTGTCAATCTTTCCTTTTGAAGTGGATATATAAACACTATATAAAACTGACATTAAACAGACCCACTCTTGGAATAATTTTAAATAATTATTATAAATATAATTCGTAAGCGCTCAACTTGTTTGCGTTTATTGCAGCTATTTCATAGGCGAATAGACGGAACAGTGGACTTTTATCGCAACTTTACAGAGTATGAGAATGGCTTTGGGAGCGTTGATGGAGAGTTTTGGCTAGGTATGGAAAAAATATTTCATTCCTTATAGCATTGGCATTTTAAAACAAATGTAGTACAGTTATTGCGTAGTCACCTAAGGTACAATAGAGATAATACGAATCCCTAAAGATTTAAGGCTGCAATTAAATAAAACGCACGGCATTTGTTGCTAGCGTGACATGAAGATGGGTTTCGTTACGATTGAACAAATATTTTGCTTACAGTAAACAATAAGTTTAATTGCCAAATACACTTAGAAAATTTCTTGTTGACCGTAATGCATTGCTTATATAAGTTGTTGAAGTCAATTGATAGACATATGTTGTTGAAGTGTTTTGATAAACATAAGTTGTTGAGGTTTATTGATACAGACTCAATCAAACCGAGTCTGCAATTCTCTTGTAACTTTGTCCGAGAGATCACTTTGTTTCCAGATATTAAGTTGTTGCGGTCTATTGATAGACCTAATTATGTTGTTGAAGTATTTTGATAAAAATAAGTTGTTGAAGTATATTAATACACATATTTAGTTGTCAAAGTGTATTGATAAGCAGTAGTTGTTGAAGGATATTGATAAACATAAATTGTTGAAGTTCAATTCATTCGGCAACCTGCCAGGTTTAAATGTCCTAAACAGAACGCAATGTTATAATGATTGTAATTGTGTAGTCTGAAATGTTGAAGACTGAATTCTACTAAATATCTTGGTTAAGTTCTGAATATTTATATTTACATTTGATATAATTTCGCAGGTTTAAAGTATATACAAGAACTAGCTGAACAAGGTTCTATAGAGATTCGTCTTGATATGACAAGAAATGATAGTACAACAGGACAAGAAACTTGTCCAGACTTTATGTTAACAGAAGGAACAAATTATACACTAACCATTGGGTCATGCACACGTTCTGGAATGGAAAGTAATTTATCCTGACAGTGTTTGTCTTCTTTTCTTACATATTTTGTTCACTTTGCTAACTGAAAGCACAACAGCTTTAAAACCAATACAAAGTAAGCTGTTGACAGCAGTTATAGTATGAAGAAAAAACAATCTCAATTTTTCATAGCAAAAATTAAGACTAGTAATCAGAATCTGTCACGACTATTTGTCACAATGTTTTACTTGCGATGTTACATAGATTATACTCTTTTTAAAGGTAGAATTCGCCTCAAAAATGTTTTTATTTTTGTTTCTTTAAAGCTTTATATTCCCCCCCCCAAAAAAAAAAAAAAAAAAAAAAAAACAAGAGTCTTCGCTGATAACATGAACCATCTGTTTCATCTGTTGATTTTGGCAATTAATACATAGTGTTTTGAAGTCAGAATATTACATTGTTTATATTTTGTGTCTACGTCTATTCACAAATTCGAAAATCTAGCTAAACGCCGTTTTCCGGTACTTTCTGTAAATAGCTCAGGGGAATATACCGAATGGAGTGTAATAACGAACTCAATGATTTTGGTCTTTTTTTTTAATTATAAGAGAAATAAAACAGTTATTTCTTTGTAAGAAAATAATTAAGTATCATTGTATGAATATTTTCTTACACAAAATTAAGTAAAAACACAAGTTTACGCAGAAAATATCTCTTTTTTTTTGTGGAAGATGCCACTACGACTGTTTTAATTTTATTGATTTTCATTATTAACATTTTCTTTTGGAAAAATTGTCAATAGATTTTAAAGAAACATTGATAATTCTCAAACACATCAGTTTTTTCACCTTTAACAGTAAAAAATGACAGAAAGATAGGCATATCATGTAATAGTGTCTAGTGTATTTGGTGTAATTCCTCAGAGCTTAATCCGTAACGTACCGAAAAATTGTGTTTAGCTAGGTTTTCAAAAAGGTCAATGACAAATAATTTGACATTTATCGCTACTTCCGTCAGGTTACACCATAATTCTTTTCTAATGTTATTCGTTTCATTGGCGTACAGTTTCTTTAAATTAAACATGTTTTAAACAAATAAAAGAAGACAATATTACAATAACAAAAGAATAGTATAATAATCAGATTGGCAATTCCTATCTTATTTATAGCAGAACTAATTCATGTCTGATCTTTTAATGTTGCTATAATTTGCTTGATATAAAATATTAAATTGGGCTATACTGTCAATTAAGAGATCGTCTTTTAGTGTTCGTTAATACATAATATTATGGTAATTTCAATGTATTTGTGAAGAATGCAGTAAATATGCACAATATAACGCTAATCATAATGTTCTACATTCAGAATATGACTAATTCACCTTGTCTCTGATAGAGCAAAGTTTCCAACTGACTGGTTTAAAAGACCAGCAAGCTAAATAGCAAATACTTGTAGTTCTACTGACCTGATATTGGACCTGCTTTACCATAATATATAACAATTGTAGATAACATCTGCGATGAACCGGATGATGTGTTTTGTAAGATTGTGGTGATAGTAACTTGTTGTTTATGGAATTTGTGCTTGTCAACATACAAAGTGTCTCGACGTAAAATGACAATGACAGAGCAAGAACTAATTAATACTGTCTTTTTATTTCTAGATGCATACACCTTTGCTTATAATAATCAAATGCCATTTTCAACTTACGACCGTGATATCGACCCTTCACTTGTGCACTGCTCCGTGGCGTATCATGGAGCCTGGTGGTATGGACAATGTACTTATGCCAATTTAAATGGATACTATGCGACGCCAGGCACGGTATGTGGATTTCCCGGTGCCTCGAGAGGTGACTGTGGACACTACCATAGAGGGTTTCATAGCATTTATTCATTGAGAACGTCATCAATGATGATAAGAAGAAAATAAGATTAAAAAGATATCATAAATTCAGAGAATTGAATGATCGTACTCAGAAGAACATTTTAATGATTATCAGTTTTATTTTTGTATCAGACATGGTTTAATAAAAGTTTTATCTTAGATTGACGTATGCTGTGAAACATTTACATTTTCAGTTTTTTTCAGCTACCAGATCGGTGACTTAGTATCACAGATATCATATTACCACGTGACAGCATATTATCACGTGACAGCATATTATAACGTTTAAAATTAAACCACGTCACCAAATATAACTATGTTACATCATAAAATAACTTGACATCATATAATCAGTTGAAATATTATCATTATCAGGCAATATTTAATCCTTTTTCAGCAGGTAATCACGTTACAAAACGAAAAGACAATTTTTTTTTAATCCAACTATTTTAAATATTTTTAAAATATTTAATTATTGACAACAGCTTCTCCGTTATGTATTCGTGAGTGTTTTTTAGCCTAATATTTAACAAGCTTTCTGATTAAATATTCATATCTCTTTTTTAATTGGTCGTAGTAGTTTATTTAACAATACTGCAAGTTATTCGCACCAATTCTAAATTTTTTGCTTGTAAGCGACATTGTTTAAACAACATTTTTGCCCACCCGCCCTTCAACAAGCCCATTTATGTAGTTGTTTTATTATTATTTATTTTTTTTTTATTGTTTTTTCGTTTTGTTTTTACATTCATATGTTCATGTTGTTTATTTGTCTTTCATCTTTATTTCATTTCATATTTTGTTTTAATAATTATTTCTTTATTGTATCCGTCCCTGTTAGCCCCCCCCCCCATTTACTATTTATAAGAACAATAAAATTAGATAATTTTCATTATACCTCTGTAGTATTAGTTAAACAAGGGAAGTGGTAGGGGATAATATCCAGTGTTTTTTTCCAGGATTATAGGAACATGACCCATATACTCATTGAATTGGGAACTTGAGCGATGATTGAAAAATGCATGATTTTTGGAGTGATTAAATGAATGCAAACAATCACTGTCTAGGACGATATCTTCATACGTTTAATCACCATACAATTGAAGAGCCCCTTATTTTAATATTTTTAAGAACTTCGTATACAAATTTTTTTTTTTTGTAACTTTTAAATGGGAATTCTGTCTCGTGGATTAGAAAAATAATAATATACTATAGTCAATTGGGAATATGGACGAATATCGGCTATAAAAAGGGCAAAGAAAAACCCCTTTATATCAGATCAAAGCGTCTTATTCCTGTGAGGTAGAACTGAAAAGAGTAAGGTCATTCTTTCAGTTAATCGCCTAGATCAATACATGTATATACTTTCATAGTGAAAGGTTGTTGTGTAAAAAGAATTGTAAAACAATTGTATTATTAGCTCGACTTTTCGATAACAATAAGTAGAGCTATTGTAGTCATCCGAGCGTTGGGGTCGGCGTAACCACTTAAATGTTAATTTTTTTGTAATACTTCAAATATTTTCAAAGTCCATTGACATATGGCTTTGAAACTTTGCACACTTGTTCACCATCATAACCCAACCTGTAGAAAGGAGGAGGTAACTGTATCAAGCATTTTGACAGAATTATTCCCCTATTTCAACTTAGAATTTACAATTAAGATTGCGCACCACCTCAGATATTTTCATATTTCATTGACATCTTGCTTTGAAACAAGTTCAATTTTCATACAATTCTTTGTGAGCATAATAGGGCTCTCTACAAGGCCTATAACATGGATTTGTAAAAAATAGCCATTTTGTGAACTTTAGAAAATTTTACATTTGCTATCAAGCACTTAGAATTGTCGAGCATTGCTGTCCTACCGACAGCTCTTGTATATATGTTTCTACATCAAATGTGCTGACAAATATAAACTTTCATCGTTCATTATGTATAATTGTTGTGTAAAAAACTGTAAAACAATTGTCACTTAATTGTATGCCTTTATGTTAAATACCTTGACAAATACATTCTTTCATGTTGAATAATTTTTGTGTGAAAACTGTTAAACTATTGTATATTATATCCTTTTGAATTACAAGCATAGAAAAAATATATACTTTTATAGTATATGGTAAGTATGTGAAACTTGTAAAGCATTTACACATTTTATAGTTCTTTATCAAATGTATTGACAAATATATACTTTCGTTTATCATTGTGTGAAAACTGTAAATCAATTGTATAGTGTATGCTTCTTCATTAAACATCTAGAAAAATATACTGTCTGTGTCTGTTTTTCATAGTTGTGCGGGTACTAATAACCATTATCTATGACTTATAGGAAATAAAGCTGTTAAAAACGTATTGACTGTGTTTACGTATTGCCAAACGTTATTGTCAAACTTGACATTGTAAATTCCCGTTTATTAATTTTGATGTGGTAAATGATAATTTACAGTATAAAGCACATTTTTCTTCTGCACAAAGCCAGCGGATTCTTTACTTTCTTTTTTTGCATATATGTGTTACTTGTTTCATAAAAAACTCTTCTACATTATTTTACTTATTTTATAATTGGCAATGAGATACCCGGATTTAAGTTGACCACTGAAAATTCTATATTCATTCATTTCTTCCAAAGACGGCAACCTTCAACTGGACAGATTACAGGCGAAGAAATGATTTTACATATTCTCTTCGATATACATGTATATTCAGACAGATAATTAGTTGTGTATGTTACGTAACTCAACAAACAGTATTGGGCCAATATCATTTGAAAAATTAAAACGTTCCTTTACATTGAAATAGCGTCTTTATACCAGTTGGAGAATTATAATAAGCCCTACAAGTTATTCTTAAATATTTGTTAGCTTTTTAAACTACTAACGAGAATAAACTACTTGATAAAACGATAATACATATAGCTCTGTGTTTAGTCTCCAGTAAAAGTCTAGGTTAAGCCATTATATAGCGGTGGAGTAGGAATGCCTTAGCATATTTGGAACTTGTTTATGTGTTTTACAGTTTGCTCCTGATGTCTTTGAGTCTGTGATATTATCTATAAATATCAAGCGCTCAAATCAAGACTGTGAAATCATATTCAGTTATCAAACAATTTAACTGAGACTATAATATCATCTTCAGATATCAAACAATTTTATTTAGACGTAATATAAGCTTAATAGATCAAACAAGAGACTAAAGACTCTGATATCATCTTAAGATATCAAGCAATCTAATTAAGACTG